TATTATTAATGCGAAAGTTTTGATGAATGGATAGATATTTGTGAACGTTTGTAACCTAAACTGCTGAACAGATCTCGATCAAAGGCATGTAGAGAATAGCCTGGAAGAACACATAAGCACTCGTTTGTTTTTTTTATTATTATTTCACGTGGAGTCGTTGGAAAGCTTATTCTATAGTACTAACCGCGTCATAGTTATAGTATTTACTATATTTGTGATGTTAATGTTAGTAGATATAGCAACATACAAGCTTCAAATATCTCCAATACCTCGCCTGCGGCGATACAACCTGAATAGCATAACTAGGTCAAACAAGGAGAACGTGTTCATGATTTTGTTCATTGCTTTAATAATAATTTACCAGTTATGTGATCGAAACTTTTGGAAGATTTGAACCAGTTTTCTTGCTCGACTGACAAGGTGTAACTCTCATCTAGGAATGTATATGTCTTTTGTATTACTATCGGTTTACTATCGCTTTAATGCTGGGTTTCAGAAGTTGCCACTTATTTTGTCATTACCTAGCGATTCAATAGTATTAGGAAACAATAAATTTATCGAAACAACAACACTATCGAATAGTTAAACGTAGCTGGGAAACCGGTATTAGTGAAATATAGTCACACTTTCTTCTAAACATTTAAAATGTTTTTTAGTAGCAAAATATGAACAGTTCAGTCGCTTGCTATGAGCACGTAGATTACGAAATGTGGTCTCCGTTTAAAGATTCACAGCACATAAAGTATCATTTACACTGTGTAGAAATTTCGGCAAAACACAGCTATCACATACTCCTCGTATAAAACTTGCCCGGGAACGGAGTGATCGTAAAATTTTACAACGTAAGCCGCAGCGAAGTTTAAAATTTACAATGAACCAAATAGACACAACATAGTGTTGTACTTTATTTACTCTATATTAAATATTTTTAGTTTTTCACTTAAAAAAAATATTTTACATTTTAAATCAAAACTTTGTGATGTTTTTAATCATGAAAATTCACTAAAATCAGTTGTGTGAACATTTTCATTTACATTTCTCAGTTTGTGAGAGATGACCTTTACGTACGCCTAGTGCAGGGACAGTGGCGCCAAAACTGTACGAATTAGTCTCAAGTACAAAACTAAACGGCTCACCGGATTTCAATGAAATTTGGTATAAATGTAGAGGATAGTCTGGAAGAACACATAGGCTACTCACTTTTGTTTTTTTTTAATTCTACGCGGATGAAGTCGCGGCCGAAAGTTACTATCCAATAAATAATTGACGAAGGATAATATAATCATGATGATAATGATGTCGAAGGTAGTTTGTTATAGTAAGTAAATTTAATTTTATTTAGTGATTTTAATTAGAACGAATAAAGTGTACCTAACAGCTTTAAGCACACTTCCTAAGGTTGGTGTTCGCCAAGTAAAATCTAAACAATACGCGGGGTGAATTCATCACTTCGTAGCTAAGTTGCTCTCTTCTGCAAACAAATGAATACGCTTTGTACAGTTAAAACAATCCAGTGGTAGACTCGTAGCGCTCACACGGCTAAATGAAGGCTTGAAGTGTGCGCTGCTGCGTTATACATTATCCTGTACGTTACATATATGTTAATTTATCCATTCACCCCGGGGTTACAGCGCTGTGAATTCTAAAATTAAAAAATGGCGTACGCGAGCCGTGATATATGGTGTTAAAGGGAGCATCTGTCAGTCAAGGACCACCTACCGAGAGACAGCCAGACACTACCATTCATCTTTATTCACTGTTAACAAACACTTAAAGCACATGATTTAACCCTATTATAAAGACTTAAGGTGTACTTTCGTGTGTGCAGTTGATGTATTATCATTGCGAAACTAGATGCCTCGTAATTTATGGCAAGTGTAACTCTTAACACGACGGTCTAAAGGTGATATTCGCTTGTTGTGATGAATTGTGAATAAATAATGTGACTGACGTTTTTGTTACGGACGTTATGCGGAGGCGTTGTGTACACGTCTCGTTTTCCTAAATTATTTTTAATATTTACAACACCGCTGAAATATATTTACGGTATGTGAAGATGGAAATATGTTTTCGGCGCGAGGATACAGGGTGGGGGGCGCGTGAAATCTTACGATGCTGTTCCGAACGGTACGTTTGCGTAACGGAAATTTTGTTATAAGACAACTGTAAATTATACTTAAGCATGGTAAACGAAATCTTTAGTTTTAAATCGATTAGCATGACA